TCATATCAAAATTCAAGCAGACACGGCAAGGTCGCGCTAAGAAAATCTGCTGGCGGCTTCACTAACGGTGCCTCTCGGAGCGTCCTTTTAGCTCATGCATCTAGAAGCCACGCTGCTCACACGAGTACCTGTAACGCGAGAAACAGGCTTAATTTGCTGAGACAATATTATATATAATTAACGGCAAAGGGTATATATATATATATATATATATAGCCTGGCACGCTGGCCAAGATGGGGTGGGTGTGGCACGTGCGGGGGGGAGAGACACCGCAGTCGCGCAGGTCTGGAACAGCCTGAACTTTGCTCCGAGCGCGAATGTCGCTTCCTTCTAGTTCCTGTTTTGTCCAGCACAAGTGGCCACTTAACTCGGCCCGTACGTTTCTGTGTGCATGAGACCCTTCCCTTCTTTTAATTTATAGTGTACCAAATTAAACTAGCGCAAACGGACCTTTGATATGACCTTGAATTTGTCTGCCTCCTCTCCATGGAAAAATTCCTACGATATCCTTTCCTTTTGATCTTATGGGCAGCGTTAGATGTGTTATCTCCATCATAAAATTCACAAAATATCCTATTTGAAGGTGTGAGCATCGCAAAATTTTGTGGTTGTTGTTGTTGTTGTTAAAATAGCTAGAACCCCAACAGTTAGGACAGTCAATTGTGAGGTAATCGCATACACTAGCTAGTTCTGATCCTTCCTCAGATATTGCGCATAGCAGGAGCTTCCTGCATCGAGTAGCCCTTTTGATAAAGGATTTACGATTTTTCTATGGAGTGCCCATGGGCACTCTATAAGGGAGGTGAGAGATGGAGAAAAATAAATTATGCAGAGAAATTAATGCAAATCAAGGAGGCCCATGGGCTATTCATTTCTCTTTATCTCTCTCCTCCCTTATAGAGTGCTCATAGGCGCTCTATAGAAAAACCGAAGGATTTAATTATTTGGGTTTTTGATCAAATTTCTTGCCTCCCACATCTAAGTTATCATAATCACATCTCAAGGTGTAGGTATAGTCCCAAGTGAGGTAGGTCCAAAAAATTATATGGAGTGTAATAAAAAAAAATTGTCCTAATTTATTACGGTTCAGTTGATTCAAAAGTTAATTTATTCTGTAATTTTGAATAGTCTGGGCCGTATGGGCCCATACGTCAATGTTGTTAGGGTGTTGCTACAGGGACCCCAAAAAAGAGGACCCCTGTGGGACAAGTGAGGTGTCACCCTCTGGTGGGGTGATTTACTGTTCATGAACAGTAAATCACCCCCACCAGGGGGTGACACCTCACCTGTCCCCTCAGGGTCCCTTTTTTTGGGGTCCCTGAGGCATTAATCATGTTTTTAATATACCCTGACTAATTAATTCTAGACCAAAAAGGATGACTCTAATCAAATTAGCCAAACATGAAGGTCTTATCGAACGTCAATATTGACTGTTATATATATATATATATATAAAGGAAAAAACTACGGAAAAGCAGTTAATTTAGAATTGGGTTATTATTACGGCTCCAAACGTGCCAAGAAAAAGATCAAAGCCAATCCAAGCGTACGTACCAGCTAGATTCAGGGTTGAACTGTGAAATCAATCCATCAAAATCAAAGTTGCAACTTGCGAACCAACTTTGTTTGTCCCGACACAACTTGCAATGTCAAAAAGATTCGTCAAGGACCACCGATCTACTATCTTAATTAACCCTCGCAAGCATGGACCACTACACTAGACTTGGGTCCATAACTAATTTGGACTTATTCAAAAAATGAGGTCCAAATTAGACACGATCGGGAGAAATATCCAACGGCGGGATGCTATATAGCTTCTAGCTACATAGTTTGAGTGAATTCAGAGGTCCACAGGCTCAAGAGGACTGAGAAAATCTCTTCCGGAATAAACACTTAAATCCTCTTATTTCTCGTTATTTAATTGATCGAAGAAACAGTACGTTTGTGAAGAAGGATTGTGATTTTTTTTCAGAGAAAAATGATTTCGAATAAAGACGTACAGGACATCACATGACAAATTAATTAATTAGAAGGAACAATTTCCAAAAAATAACAAATTTATAAATTTCCTCAAGAATGACAAAAATTAATTACCGTCAGAAAAAGGCTAAAAACAAGAGTAACAACTTGCTAGTCCTTTATTACAAGTTGATCAATACATGGCCACCAAATTGTGGCTCTTGAGTTTGACTGTGATCTCGCCGCACCAACATATATTTTATAAAGAAAAATTCTTTAAGGACCCAAAATATGGGACCAATAGGGGGGACAAGTGAGGTGTCCCTCTTCTATTGGATAATGAGTTGGTCATCATTAATGATGGCCAACTCATTATCCAATAGAAGGGGGACACCTCACTTGTCCCCTTTATTGGTCACATATTTTGAGTCCCTGTAGCAAAGCTCTTTTATAAATTTCCGCACCATATCGTTGTCGTTGCCTTGCCTTATCTTTACTAAAATTTTTACCCTTTCCCCATCAAAAAAGAAAAGAAAAGAGAAAATTTATCATGTTTCGTTGCTTCACGTCGTTCTTGGGCCATAGAAAGTATTGGGCTTTCCGGCCCCCGCGAGAAAGATAAGAGTTTCTCTTGGATTTCGTTTCATTTGCATTTCGGGCCGGGAGCCCAAATTCAGGTCAACACTATTTCAGCTCCTCAGCAGCTATATTTCATCATGTTATTATATTATAATATAAATATCCAGAGGTTTCCCATAAACTAGAGTACATAAAACTGAAGATAAGGGACATCAAATTAATTAAGCCAGTGAAATCATATCATATAACAAGCGATTAGTAGTTACGATTCCTGATGAGGAAAACATGAATTTCAATACACCAATAATATGCTTAATTACGTACGTACCATCATCACATAAATCCGATTTAGGTACGTTCAGACGATGTATAACATCTCATTATGTTACACTAGTGGGTGGATCCTACATGCATAACATCTCTTTTTCCCTTCTCTCAACCAACGTAAGAAAAGGAAATCAAACACGTTCACTGGGTGTGTTGGTACGTGTTTTGATTTCCTTTTCTTAATTCCTCAGCCAACCAAACAACCCCTAATAGGAAAGAAAAAGAGTATGTATGAGAAAGTTGAACACCCTGTATATATTTACAGAACACTTATCAACTGGCCGGATCACGAGTGTTGCCAGCTTGCCACAATTTAGTCCCAGCTGATGAGCTTTTTGTTGTCCCGCAGGGTTGTCTACAGCCTAACACCATGTCTATGCTACTTGAATTGCCCCTCTAGCTAGCTAACTAACTAGGGATATGTAGTATATATATATATAGCCATGAGAAAACAAGTATATATGAAACCGATCGAGGACTCTCTCGTAAACTGACGCGTGAGATGAAAAGCCAAAAAGTCACCCAATATATCGGTGAACAAGTCAACGCAGCTGGATGCTCGCTTTACATAATATATAGTTGAGTCGATAATAATCCAGTGATTTACATTCGAACAGCATGACACAAGGTACGCGGTAGCTAAAATTAATCAGCCAAGTACAGGAATTTAGGGCAAAAGATAGAACGTTCTGTGTCACTTCCAATTATAAGCGCAATCAACAAAAAGGGGAGGGGAAATTTAATTGAAAACACAGCGAAAGGGAATAACATGAAGGGACGATCGAAAAAGATTGTGGCATACTTTAATTATTAGGCCACTCTTGAATCTTTTTTTTTCTTTCCCTTCTTCTTTTTCAAGCATGATGCTTTTGCATCTTAAATTAACAGTCAAACTGAAGGAGGTATTAATTAGAAAGCTCAATTAATTAGTGCTTAATTAGAGCCATGGCTTGATCATCCATCCATCGTTTCACAGAAGCAGCTAGAGGAGGCCTCCATGCGAGTTTCTAGTTTATTAGTATCACCCCTAGATCCATCCATCTTGTATTCACACATTAATTTGTACAATAACTATATATTGGATGCTAACAATAAAATCAAAACCCTAACCCTAGCAACGGTCTAAATACAAAAACAATGGGCATATCAGCACTCTTATCTCTGAAGCAGTACGTACATATATATGCGCATATATATTTACAATGATACAACTCGCACCTGTCTCCAACCAAACCCTAATGCCTAACCATGATCTGAATGGTCCTTCAGTGTATTTTCTTGTATCAAATCAATCTGCCGTGCCTCTCAGCTTGAAGAGATGATGACAGGGGGAGCTAAAATTAGATGGAGCTAACTGGTAGACTTTTTTTTTGATATCGTTGTACATTAATTAACCGCACAAATTAATAAACGGAAAGTACCATTCACATTAATTGTCTTCTCCATGCTAATTAGTGCCATGTACAGATCTAAAAGGGCACGACAACCAAAGTTGAGTTTTCATAGGGAACTGTATCAGCTTGCTTACAAATTAAGTAAAGGACCAATGTATCAGAGAGAAAGAAACACTTGATGCGGATTCAGATTTGTTATTTTCGACAAAAAGATGTCAGTACCGAGAGAAATGCTTGATATATGGTTCATTATTTATATTATTAATCCAATAGTAAAACAGCAAGATGCTTGAATATATCAAGAAGCCAAGAATATTGTTTATGCTTCCCCAGACTAGTATGTTGTAACATTAAACAACCTATTCCTCCATCCATCATCAATGCAGGCTGCAGCTAATTAAAAGCTATGGAGAGCAGTGAGAGAGAGAAAGAGATATACAGCATATATATATCTATATATGTGTGTGAAGAATCCTAACAAGCACAAGAGTTGAGATTTTACAGTGACAATATTATATGTTTATTGATTAAATTTTAAAATCACACACTTAAAAGATTTGTTATATATTTCCAATAGACCTGTTATATATTAAAGAAGTTTAGCTAGATTCAACAATTCCAATAAGTGATCCGAAGTGTTAATCATCATCATCAAATGACAATATATATAATATATCAAAGATGAGAGATAAGAGAAGTATAGATCTAAGATACTGCATGAAAATTCATGAGGACCCAAGTGTTCAATTAATGGTTGTATGATTAGAATTACCATGGATCATACATAAACCGATGGAACATAAATAATCTAAAAAGAAGAAGAAGAAGAAGAAGAAGAAGATCATACATAAACCGATAGAACATAAAATAATCTAAAGAAGAAGAAGAAGAAGAAGAAGAAACAAAATAAACAGAGAATTGGTTGTTTAATGATAAAACCCTAGTACAAGGCAGTATAATGATGAAAAAACTATCCCCCATTTCTCTGGTGTCAGTAGCAGCATCTGATGGGAAAAGAGACTCTGATAGAGACGTTTAAAGGAAACCCTAATCATTACTCCAATCTGATTAGCCCTCGTAATCACAAGTCATCGCAATATCATCAATCACAAAAATGGGCATCAAGGATTCAACCATATTAAACAAAATGTTAGTAGTAGCAGCAGAAATAATTAAACACAATCATAATAATGGATCAAACCCTAAAATAAAACAGTAGCAAGAGTAGATCTGAAAACAGTAAGAAGAGTACTAGATCTGAAGAGATCGACTTACCAAATATATATAAGATCTGTGAGTGAGAGGGAGAGGGAGGGAGAGATGACTGAGAAGTAGAAGATGAAGGTGAAGGAAGCTGTGATTGAGGGGAATGAAGCCTGGTCCGAGATCTGATCACATCACGGCTCAATCACCGAACAGATCTATGTACAATCGATCATCATTAGCTAATGATGATAGATGGCAGATGAGCCTCGAGCCAGACAACATTCCCCTCAAAGAAAAAGCTCCCTCTCTTTCCTTTTTTTTTTCTTTTCTTTCTTCCTTTCTTCCGCCTTGGCCTGCTAATGAATTTGTTTCTGAGTTCCTTTGCTGATCGATGAATCTGTTGGTGCTCTTATTAAGGAGAAGGAAGAAGGAAGGAAACATCCCCCAAGAGATCGGGCTCCTTTCAAGGGTGTGTGTTGCAGAGACAAATATAAAAGAGATGGAGAAAGAGGGAGGTGATGATGAATGAAATGATTACAGTAGAGAGAGAGAGAGACAGAGAGAGAGAGAGAGAGAGAGAGAGAGAACAAATTAAAGAGGGTAGCTTAGTTAGCTAGGGCTTGGCTGAGAGGGTGCTAAAATCTACAGCATTTAATAGGGAGGGGATGGATTGGTGAGGGTCGGAAATCAATTCAATTTTCAATCCGATTCAATTTGATACTGTACTGCATAGAAGGAGACGAACCAACTAAAATAAAATAAAATAAATCAAAGAGCGCTACAGCTGGGCTCTCAAAGTCTCAGAAATGACTACGATATATATATCTCTTTTTATACGCGGGCTGGAAAATTTTACTGTCAAGTAGCTAGATCGAGAATGTGATATCGTAAGACTTTAGCCGTTGGATTGTATCACAAGGGCTGAGCTGAGTTGGAGATAGAGAGGAATCGGAGGAGGAAGGAAACCCTAGCTAGCGAGCAGTTCGATCTCTTTGGAAGTAACAAGAAGAGATGGGGGAGTTGTTGAGATGAACGCGCGTCCCAATAACAGAATGACTGACTCATTCACAAGCCTACCACTCTCTCTCTCTCTCTCTCTCTCTCTCTCTCCCCCCGAGAATTAACTAGTGTTTTCCGTTTGTTCTCACTTTTGTTTTGAGCATTAATTAACTAGTGTTTCCGAGCATTAATTCACCCAGTTGTTAGGGTCTCCAACTTCACACTAGCTAGCTGGGTATCCTGCTCAATGAATGAATTGCGGATCAGATGCAATTTCGAATGCTTAATTTCCTTTTCCTAGTTTACTTTAGGTCGTGTTTGGTTTGGTTACACCTTTGATTTCAGCCAACTTTTCCCCGGAACATTAGCACACAGCATATACTATAGGAAACCCCATTTCCGAGGTTTTGGAGCGCGAACAAAAATGAAAATGCCACGGGTTGTTTTGGGCTTCTCCAGAAATAAATTAGGTTTTCTTAAATTGGTGATGTTTCCTATTCTTTTGGTCCCTTGCAATTTGAAGATTGAGAAACAAACAAAAATTTTCACAATTTTAGGAATCCTACCAAAAACCTCAGAAATGATATTTTGACGCGGAAATGGGGTTATTTATGAAAATGGACCAAATGGGCCCAAATGAATGTAGACGTTGGCAAAAAGTTGGACTCAAAATCTAATCCTACTCCACGACTTAATATAGATATTTAGGATCAACTTTAGAATAAGAAATGAATTAAATAAATTTTGAAGATAAAGGTATCACTGGTGGAAAAACAGGCATCGTTGACGGGCATTCCCGTCAGGAATGCTTAAAATCCCGTCAGCGATACTTATCGCTGACGGCATCCCGTCAAGGATATGCCGTCAGCGATAGTCCCGTCAGGGAAGAAGTATCGCTGACGGGGCCCCGTCAGTAATACTTATTACTGACGGGAACAACGCTGGCGGCCAAAGCCGTCAGTGAAAATGAAGCATCGCTGACGGGGATCCCGTCAGCGATGTTATGTACATCGCTGACGGGATCCCCGTCAGTGATACCTATTGCTGACGGGCCCCCGTCAGCGATTATATTACTAGCTTAAAAAAAATTAGCTGATAAATCAGTTCCCCTTCCCTATACATTCCATAACAAATATCCCTGTACAAATCTGCAAACAAATATCCCTGTACAAATCTGCAAACAAATATCCCTGTACATTCCATAACAAATATCCTTGTACATTCCATAACAAATATCCCTGTACATTCAATCAATTCCATGTACATTATATATACAAATATCAATTCCCTGTACAATATGCAAACAACGACATTTCTTGCATATTCCAAAACATCTCGAAATATATGCAATCCAAATTTCACAAACATCTCTCATTCAATCAATTTTCACAAATATTCGAAATATGTACATTCAATTTTCACAATAAGTTCTAAATCCATAAAAATTTCCACAACAAACCATACACGCATATCTTAAGTTCTAAATCCACAAAAAATCCCATAACAAACATGTACACACATATCATAAGTTCTAAATCCACAAAATTTTCCACAATAATACACGCATATCATAATACACGGGTTTAGGATATAACTCACTAAGATAGGTCATCCGCCCTATCCATGTCATCGTCCGCGGCGCCACTAGCGTCTCCATTCCTACGACTCGTGCTCCCAATAGCATCATCTCCACTCTAACAACAAAATAATTTAAATTTAGAATCACATAATATTGTGTGTAATCATGTTTTACATATATAATAAGTATACCTGTCTGCTACTCTCTCCACTACCAGTAAATGCCTTTTGAGTGGCCAAGAAGTTCATAATCTGGCTTTGCACCCGAGTAGGAACCCGCCTTCTACAAGATTTCATTATTTGCCTAGAAACCATCGCAAAAGTAGCAGTAGGCTGGATCACTCGCATAAGCTCCTCTTGAATATCCTCCCACATCTCCTCGGGAATCTGACCATCTAACATATTCATCACAGAGGAAACAAGCTGCATCGCCTGCTGAGTGCAATCCTCCTGCGGCATGTAAGAGGGCCCCGATGGCATAGTCGAGGGTGTGGAAATCGGCGGAGGCTGGAATTGTGTAGACACCCTCTGAGCTCCAACTCCCATCCACCTGGTCCTCCCTTTTTTGGGAAGTCCACAAACTAAATGGCTCACATTATAATTCTGCTCTCTAGTCAGGGGCTCTTGGCTCTGTGCAACAACCTCAGAATATGTGTTTTCCAGAGCTTCCTAAAAGACAAAAAAATAAATTTAAGAATTGGCCTGATCCTATGTGAATATATAAATGAAAATGATAAGTTGCACAAGTCTTTTGACCAAATGTTGTGGATATTCTGCAATCATTAGCTAGATAGGGGCAAACATCCAATGATTGTTGTGTAACAGACTTTTTCTGCTCTTTATACTTGATGTTAAACTGTTAATCATCTTTTTGAAATTTGTGTTTAGATCACAACTCTTTTCTGAAATAATGAAGATGTTAACAATTGCTTCTTGTGACGAGGAAGGACAATGTCACTAAGAAATCGTTTCAATATCTACAAAGACAAAGGGGAAATTATTGTTAAATTTGCAAGTACAGTCACTATAAATTTAGCACTTGCGAATGCCAGTAATTGTTAGGCAAAGAGTTTGGAGATGAGTGGCAAATGTAGGTTAGATAATTAATCATCGTGATGTATGAGTATGAACCAACACGAGTCCTTTAAGTCTCTATCTCGCACGTGCAGTGTTTCGTTCGTCGCTACTTGCCTAGGTAATGGATTGATTAACTTTATAACATCCTCACATGTAAAGCAATATACGTGATAATGTGGAGATAATGTTTGTTTGGCACAAAGGATATATGTCTAGGTTTATAATAATAGAGACATAACAGGATGGATTACTCCTAGGGTGTGTTTGTCCATCGAGCCTGATTTTGTAATATGTCACTAATATCTCCATTTTTGTGCAATAAATAGGTTCAGATTGATGGATTCATGGTTCTGGTGCAGCATGTAATCAGATCATATATATGACTATGAATCTTATTCTTTTTTTTATATATCTTCCTTAACACATTCACACATATAATTCATGTATGATAATTAAGATGACCAAAAAGACGAGTGCAAACAATAAATTCCCAACAAAAAAAACAGACGATAATTAGTTAACCTGCATTTTCTTGGCCAATTCTAGCTTTTGTTTCCTACTCTCATCGTCATCGTACCCCTTCTTAAATTGAACCATCGTCCTCCTGTGCAGTTCTGGTAGCGGGATAAAGAGAGCGTTCTGAGATTTAAAAATATATTTATTAGTTTTATTTATCAAATATTCTATGAAGCAGAGAGAATATATATAGAAGATGAAAAGACTTTATTTACCGTTGTCCTACAAAATTGATCCTCAATCTGGGCAAATGAAGTAGTCCCCGTATGATGATCATAATCTTTCTTCCATCGATTTTGTTTATTTCTCTGGCATTTTTTCTTCAACATGAACAAAGAGAAGTTTAGTACAAGCTATAATATATAATGAAATATATCACTAGCTTCGTATAAATAACTTGATGATAATTAACTACTATACATATTTACCCGGTGCTCCTCTTGGCCCCACAATACTATAAGTGCAGCTAAGTGCTCAGGCTCAACCCTCTTATCTCGTTTGTATATCCTCTCCCAGTTGTGAGTGAAACAATCAACACATTTCTTCTTTAACTCATGTCTCCACTCCCGAAGAGAATGCTTGAACTTTCCCGTGTATCCAAATAAAAATTCCCACCCTACGGGATTGTCTTCGATGTTGAAATATCTCTAAAAAATAAAATATAGTTAAGCATGGACAATAATTGACAGAATTGAAAAAAAATTATGCTAAATAGAAGAATTTACCCAACAATCTCGATATATACTCTCCAGGACATGAAATGGCTGCTCCTCAGCCTCGTAATAAGGATTCACATTATCACTCCTCCGTATCAAGCATCCAAGGTATGAGCTAAAGTTATTAGCCCATTGTCCGGTTGGAATCCCATTGTGTCCCCATCTCACAATTGCGCGAAAACCATCCGGGGGTAACTTCTTTTTAAAGTCACTTCCTTGGCGTCCTTTTTTCTGGTAAAGTTTTTCGCCTACAACAAAGAAAAAAAATAATAGATATATCAATACTTTTATTTAATCCCTCTTAAGCTCTTAGAATTTACCAAAAAAGGAAGAAGAAAAATATTAAGGAAAAGAAAAACCTGAGAATATTATGTTTATTAGATATGGATACAATTACGTAGACAGTCAACATATGGATTGTGACAAATGGATTGTGACAAATGGATTGAGTATAAGTAATTACACGCATGATTAATCTAACAGTTGAGGCTCAGCTTATACAAGGATTAAGTGCTCCAACTCTCCCTAAAAAGTTGTTAGCCTCTGATAGCTTTTTGTCTTGACAGCTGGTGATACTTTGTTATTTTGCAAAGTTAAGCTTGTAACATCAATTTGTTATACATAAAGTTTACCAAAAGTTTGCCTAAAGCTCAATTTTTTTACTAGAAGATAACATTGTTTTATAACATCAATTTGTTGTGTGCATGAACTATGTGGAGGGGACTTTTCCTAAGTTAGAATTTCATTACCTTCTATTTAATCAGAATTTAAATGCAAAGGAAAAAGTTCAAAAGTTATACACTTTTTCAAACATTAGATATATGTTTAATCTCAACGCCACTTGCAAGCATTAATTCAGCTGAGTTGTTCTATGATTAATCATCCAAGTAATACACAGAATCAAGACACCCATCACTAAATAATAGACCCAGAATGAAATTTTTTGATCTAACTCACCAAATCTTTGTCTGATTTCATTTTTTGCATCAGATAAAATCTCATTAATCTGCGGGCCCCATTCATCCAATCGTTTTTTCGCAAGCATGTATTTTTCTGTATGCTTGAGTCTGTACCCCTCTGCGCATGCTGGTAAAGGCCCGCGCTCAATCCCGGTAATATATGCTCGAAGTAGCACAGGAGGATCTGCATATAATGGTACGGTAATGGGCTCTTCCTCACCCTCACCTAAAAGAAATAAATTATCATTGTGCATATATCATGAATAAAAATACTTAAGTTAAACTAAGATATACCTGACATCTCTCCTGAACTCACTGGGGTTAGCTTCGAATAACCTCCTGTTAATGTTTTTAGACATCTGCAAGTTGAATAAACATACAAATTTATATCGTCCAAAAAGGTAATTGAGATACATCGTAGTGATATTAAAGTTTTTATTTTACAATTTGCAAACTAAAAAAAGTTACATGAAGACCTGATTACAAATAATTGTTGTTTAGCTCCTATTAATGTCTGTGATAATATTTATAATGTCTGTCCGAGTTCTTGGAGCATCTGTATCAAACACTATGTTTTGAGGGTACGAGAATTCATCGATCGCTGTATTTGGCTTATTGAAGTTGTTTATATAGCTAAGGCTAAGCATATATGACAAGAGAATATAGAGATGTGATTATGGAGAAGTTGTTTATATAGCTAAGGCTAAGCATATATGACAAGAGAATATAGAGATGTGATTATGGAGAAAAATAATACACAAAACACAGGTTAGACAAGCATATATGACAAGAGAATATAGAGATGTGATTATGGAGAAAAATAATACACAAAACACAGGTTAGACAAAGCTGATCAATGTAAATGACATTCTTATTCGCAATCAACCATTTTCTCCTCATTAATTCTGCAAAACCCTTTTCATCCAAAAACATCAAAATGCCCAAGCAGAATGCATTATAACAACATGATTACTCTCTCCTCAATTAGGAGATTGCTAAAATTGCAGACCGCACAGTCAACATATAAACGTTTAAAAAAATTAAAATAATTGCAAGGAGATCAGATGGTAGTGCATGATTCAATTAATCATCATCTGGAATATAGAAAATGTATATGGAATTGGTAACATCACGCCTCCCTTTCAATTTCAATACAAAAAGGTTTTATATTTTGAGGGGAAAAAACAAAGTTTGATTTTTCTGCACTGAATGGCAACACTTCATTCCATCTGTTCAAGTGCCCAGGATAAAACATCCAACCAGGGCAAAGGAACCCGGAACACTTGAACAAAAGTCACAGCTTTCTCCCACAGTTGGGGGTTGAAAGAACAAGTGAAAAAGAGGTGTTTCTAGAGAGATCATCCATAATAATACCGAAGTTCTTATGTTTAGATTTAGTAGACAATCTATCCTTTATTTTCTTTTGTTTTCTTCTGATTTGTGGACTTGTTGTCGGTCACTGGACCAAAATGTGTCTTTCTTGTGATTTAGAGAGATCAAGAGAGAGATTGGATCTTACCTGAGAGAGAGATCGGGATCCTTAGAGTAGGCTCGCGGGGGCTGAGAGTACACCGAAACCAATTAGGGGAGCCGTCGATTTTGGGAGGAGGAAGAGTCTTGGATGAAGGGGAGCTTTCGATTTGGTATTGCTCGGCGGCAGCGGTGTCGTGCCGGAGTAAGGGGGCTCGCGCCGGAGGAAGGGGGGCTGGGGTCTCGCGCAGCGATGTTTACATCGCTGACGGCAACCAAGCAGTTGTGACGGCAACATCACTGACGGTGATTCCCGTCAGCGATGTAAACAACACTGACGGGAATTTCCCGTCAGTGATGTTGCCGTCAGCGAAAGCCACATTTCTACTAGTGTATGAAATGGATGGAGCAATCTACCCTAATCCTAATCCATTGTAGGGAGGCAGGATATTTGGAAGGAGTGCTTGTTTCTCCATGAAAAAGATGAAATAGAGAAAGAAGAGGTGATTTCTGCCGTTTCTGAGTGTTGTTTCTCTAAAAAATCTACTTCCAATACTTCCTAAGACGCTAATATATATGGCACTTGTGGACGCGGGGAGGGCCCACCCACGTGGGCATCTGCCCACGAGCAGACAAGCGCCGCCTGCTTTCCTTGCGCGCGCACGAGAGCTCGAGGTGGGATTTTTCCCGCGGAATTTTTTTCCTTCCCGCGCGCGCGCCTGTGTTCCCGCCGTGTGAGCCCGCCACTTCTTCAGTTTTCTCCCCCTTTGGTTTCCTATAAATAGTGAAGGGGTGGAGGTGTTTTAGTGTGGGGAAAAATTAGTGTGGATAAAATACTAAGTGGGTTGTGTGAGTTTCTTTGAGAGAAAAGAAAAGAGAGAGTTGAGATAAAACTTGTAATAAGTTTGGTATTCTCCTCATAGTGAAAACCCCCTCCCGTGGACGTAGGCTAATTAGCCGAACCACGTAAATCTCGTGTATTTACTGTTTTCTGAGTTGTTGGCTATTGCTTGTAGGATCCCTCAAAATTCGGTCTTGCGCTGATGAGAGGAAGAGTGGATATCTCACTTCGCTGAGATATTTCGCTACTGAGTCTGGGTTTCCTTCGCGAAACACAAATATCGAGGTTGACTTGTGCTTTTGTGACAACAAAAGCCAGAGCTCTCTCTCAGGACATATCGCTTCCGCGGCGGTGGGCGTGACTTTGGCCCAACAGCACTATATGTCATCCTTATAATCCCTTTAAGATTTGGGTGCTTTAGAAAATCCCCTCATATGTTTTCAAAATTGTCAACTAACCCCCTATAATCAAAATATTCTTTTCAGATTGACACTCTCTTTTTTAATCATTTTCAGATTGACACTCTAGTTATTAAATAAATAAAAATAAAATGAATATAGATAAATTAGTTAAATCCCTAAATTTGACTAACGTTGTTGATGTTGATAATCAAACAGATAATATAATGAGGGTGATGTTGTTTAAGGGGCCGCTAACTTCTCCGAATATCTGATTTTGAGTTAAGTAGCTTCAACCTGCACAAATAGCAATTCGTGAGAGGACGGGGACTAGTTCCCCCATTATTCCTCTAACAATCAAGTCAGTTGATGGACTTGAGTGGGATGATGAACAATGTGAGTTCTATAGTGTAGTGCAATAGAATTCTCAAAGATTTGATATTTAGAACAATACCTCTATTTATAGTGGTGGAAAAAGGGTAGAATGGTAATCTCGGCCTAGTACAGGATGACGACAAACGAGTATGGCCTGGTGGATACATCAGCACTTACTTTACAGGTGTCGGTCGACGAGTGGAGGAGAGGTCACCTCAACATTTAATGTGACGCGGTTGGGGGCATGACGGTGACGACCTGGTTTGATGAGTCATGA